GGCCGGGCCGAAACGGGCCTACTTCAATCGAAAAAAATCATAAACTTAATCATAAGGGCATTTTAGTTCAAATTTGAGATTAAACTCACTTAATTCCAATATTTCCACATCAAACCAAATTCATAAAACACCCAATAAAGTCGCACAACTTAATAAGATTTTCCAAAAAAATAATAAAATCAAGTATTATTTTTGAGGTTATTATATAATTAGACCGTAATACGTTTTAAGAAATAATTTTAAAAAATAATAAGTGTTGTCGAACGTAAGCATCGCCATATTCTTGAGACCGCAAGTGCTTTGTGATTTCAAGCACACTTGCCTCTCCATTTTTGGGGGGGAATGCATTCTCACTGCCGTTCATTTGATTAATCAATTTCCCACTTTAGTTCTTTCCACAATATTCTTGAGACCGCACGTGCTTTGCGATTTCAAGCACACTTGCCTCTCCGTTTTTGGGGGGAATGCATTCTCACTGCGGTTCATTTGATTAATCGTTTTCCCACTTTAGTTCTTTCCAAACAAACCCCTTTTGAATGTTTATATCACCAAACCCCATCATATTCACATTTAAGAGTATTTGGTTGCCTTGCATATGCTACTATAGTCCACCCTACCAAAAAGTTTGATTCTCGAGTAGTTAAATCCATTTTTATTGGGTACCCAGTTGGCCAAAAGGCATATAAACTCTATGATTTGTCCACTCAAAAAATATTCACTAGCCGAGATGTTTTATTTAAAGAAGATGTCTTCCCTTTTTCTACTCCAATTGCCAGTCCCACCACCATCCCAAACACTAGCCTTCCTTTACCCATTTCGGCCCATGACTCATCTCCACCACAAAATTCCAATCTAGCTCCTGAGCCCACTGAGCACACTTTGCCTATTAGTCCAATGAGTCCCACTCCTTCCACGCCTCCTTCTGCAGATCTTCCTCTTCTAGCACCAAATCCTCTTGCAATCCAATCCTCTCTTCCGCCTACTGCACCGCCTTCACCAGCACCACCCGTTCAACCCACTCACCAGTTTGAACGTCACAAGGTTCCGAATGTGCGCCTCCAAGACTATGTTTGCTCTCATGTCACGCTACCCAAAGATGCCCAATCAGAGTCTTTGTCTTCACATCGCACCTCAAGTACTCGTTATCCCTTGAGCAACTTTATTTCTTATCACCGATATACACCAGCACATCTTGCTTTCATTACTCACCTCAGTCACAGTGTGGAGCCACGTTCCTTCTCTGAGGCCAATTCTGATCCTAACTGGCAGCAAGCCATGAGCTCTGAACTTCAAGCTTCAGAGTCCAATCATACATGGACTCTTACTCCTCTTCCTCCTGGTAAGCACCCTATTGGTTATCGGTGGGTCTACAAGATCAAACATCATTATGATGGCTCTATTGAATGGTACAAAGCTCGGTTAGTAGCAAAGGGTTATACACAGACAGAGGGTGTTGATTTTCATGATACTTTTTCTCCTACAGCCAAGATGGTTACTATCCGCAGCCTTCTTGCACTTGCCGCTGCTTCCTCTTGGCCTCTTCATCAACTTGATGTCCATAATGCCTCCCTTCATGGGGATCTCCATGAAGAGATTTATATGACACCATCGCCTAGTCTTCAGTGATAGGGGGAGAATCTGGTATGTCGCCTCCACAAGTCTTTATATGGCCTAAAGCAAGCTTCTCGTCAGTGGTTTGCAAAATTTTCTGAAGCTATTCAAGCTATCGGTTTTACTCGGTCCAAAGCATACTATTCCTTATTCATGTGCAAAAGAGGAAAGTCATTCATTGCTCTCTTGATTTATGTTGACGATATATTGATCACATGAAATAACTTGGGTGCCATTAATTCTCTTAAACGTTTTCTTCATAGCCGCTTCTGCATTAAGGATCTCGGTGACCTTAAATTCTTTTTGGGTATTGAAGTTTCGCGTTCAAAGAAAGGTATTAGCATCTCTCAGAGGAAATACACCATTGACATCCTTAAAAATAATGGTTTTCTTGGGGTACGACCTGTCTTGTCTTATTTCCCATGGAACAAAATTTGAAATTATCTGACACAAGTGAATTGCTTAAAGATCCAGCCAAGTATAGAAGGTTAGTAGGTCGTTTGATTTACTTGACCATCACGAGACCAAACATTACATATGCAGTGCATGTGCTCAGTAGATTTATGCATGAGCCACGTAAACCTCATATGGAGGTGGCGTTGCACATCTTGAAGTACCTCAAAAACACTCTAGGACAAGGTTTATTTTTTCTAGCTCAAAATGACTTGAAATTGCGAGCTTATTGTGATTCTGACTGGGGAGGTTGTCCAACCACCAGAAGATCTACCACTGGATATTGTGTTTTTCTTGGAAACTCCTTGATTTCTTGGAGATCAAAGAGACAAAACTGTTTCACTTTCTTCAGCAGAAGCAGAATACAGAGCTATGACTAGTGCTTGTTGTGAACTAACTTGGTTGCGTAGTTTGTTATGAGATCTTCAATTGCCACATCGGAAGGCAGCGATTACTTCATTGCGACAACCAAGCTGCGTTACATATAACAGCAAATCCTGTTTTCCATGAGCGAACACGACACATTGAAATGGATTGTCATTTTATCATAGACGGATTGTATAATAGAATAGGAATGTTATATTATTTGATTTCCTGTATATATTCTTTCCTAGCTAAACCAACGGAATGTTTTATATAAACATACATCAACGATCAATGAGAATTCCTTCTGGTCAAATATCTTTTCATACCAATTTTACACTCCAGGACATAAGTGGCACAACAAAGAAGTCTCTTTGCCTGATAGAGGGAGCAGTTCACACCAGGGAAACCAAAGGAAGTCACATGCTGCCAATAATGTCCAAAACTTAGATTCACAAGTTCATCATCTCCAGTCCATCGCGCCTAACCTTACACTAGACCAATGCCAACAAATTATAGGCGCTTTAGGTAAAGAAGATGTTTCACAAACCCAAGTAAACTTTGCAGGTATGTCTTCTCCTTCTTTTCTATTTTCTCAAAAGCAATCCAATTTATCGCATGCTTGGGTAATCGACAGTTGCGCTACCGACCATATCACTAATTCACATGACTTTCTAACAGACACATCTCCATCCTCCCTGTCCCCAGTAGGATTTCTCACAAGGGCTAAGGCACCCATAAAATCCACTGGCAAAATCACTTTTGATGAAATTTTTTGTCTTACTAATGTCCTTTGCATTCCATCCTTTAATGTTAATTTGATGTCAGTTCCCAAACTCACAGAGTCACTTAATTGTTGTGTTGTGTTCTTTCCCAATTTTTGTTATATACATGACTTACGAAGAAGATGATTGGATTGGGTAGGCAGCATGGCAACCTGTACTATTTTGATCCAAACTATATTTCTCAGAAGCCCCCATCATCCTCCTCACACCATGTGTTATCCAACAAAACCTTTGGCACATGTGGCTAGGACATCCATCAGATGCCCGCCTTTGTATCTTGGCTCAACATGAATCTGATATTTTCTTTTCCCATCAATCTTGTGATTTTTGCCCATTGGCTAAACAACTAGACTTCCATTTACTTTAAGTTCAATTTCAAGTATTGCTTATTGTGATATATGTGGTCCACATAAAATTCCTTCTCATTTTGGGGCAAGATATTTTTTGACTTTCATTGACGATTATACAAGGTGCACATGGGTTTATTTAATGTAATATAAATATGATACTCAAGGTCTTCTTAAATCCTTCTTTGCCTTTGTTTCTACTCAATTTAACAAAAATAAAATAAAAGCTATTCGTGTAGATAATGGTGGTGAATTTTCTTCTCTAAAAGCGTTTTTTTGCAGATCTTGGTGTCGTTTACCAACATTCCTGCATCTCAATACCTCAACAAAATGGGATCGTGAAACGTAAACACCGACATCTTCTAGAGATGGCTCGAGCCTTGCGATTCCATGCACATCTCCCTTTTAATTTTTGGGGAGAATGCATGCTCACTACTGCATATCTTATTAAGCGTCTCCACACTCCACTTTTAGCTGGTAAAAGTCCCTATGAGCTTTTATTTAATCGTCCACCCATTTATAAACATCTCTGCGTTTTTTATTGTCTCTGTTATGCAACTAATTTACACCCTTCTCATAAATTTGATAAACAGGCACGTAAATATATTTTTGTGGGTTATCCTTTTGGTCAAAAGGCTTATCGCATTTATGAGTTAGAGACCAAAAAGTTTTTTAGTAGCCGAGATGTTATTTTTCATGAAAATGTCTTTCCTTTTGCCAATCAACATGATGTACCCACCATCCCTATCTTGCCTTTGCCCCCCAATGATTATGATTATGAGCTCGTCCACATATCATACCCACTACCCACTTCATCTTCCAAGCCAAATTCACCAACAAATCCAGATATGCATACACCAAGCCCAGACACACGCTCTAGCACACCCACACCACCTCTTCCAGATACACTACTACCTAGTCCACGCACACAATCTAGCCCAAACACACACACCCAATTTAGCCCAAACACGCAATCTAATATATCCCTCAACCTAGTCCACCACCGCTCGACATTCTGAACGCCTAAAACAACCTTGAGTGCTCCTACGTGACTACCACTGTTACACCGCCATGTCTCCCACTCTGATTCGTCATCTTCTTCAAATACAAAAGGTAAGGGCACCCAATATCCTATTTCCCAATTTCTTAATTATCATAATTTTTCATCCACTCACCGATCTTTTGTCGCTTCCATCTCTCGAGTTGTTGGGCCAACTACTTTTGCCCAAGCTTCGATTGACCCTCTTTGGCAAGAAGCTATGGGCAAGGAAATTCAGGCTCTTGAGCAAAATAATACTTTGGTTCGTAACACCTGTACCTGCAGGTAAACACCCAATTGACTGCAAATGAGTGTACAAAGTCAAATATAATTCTGACAGTTCTGTCGAGCGCTACAAAGCTCGCCTTGTGGCCAAGGGATATACCCAACAGGAAGGCTTGAACTACACGGAGACATTCTCTCCCATGGCTAAGTTGGTTACTTTCCGATGCATGCTTGCTCTTGCCACTATACACAATTGGCCCCTCCACCAATTAGACGTCCAAAATGCTTTTCTTCATGGAAATTTAGACGAAGAAGTCTACATGCTTCCTCCACCCGGCCTTGGCCGACAAGGGGAGCACTTGGTTTGTCGGCTACACAAATCATTATATGGGTTGAAGCAAGCATCACGAAATTGGTTTGTCAAGTTCACCAATGCCCTTCAAGATGTCGGATTTGTCCAATCCCTAGCAAATTATTCACTTTTCACAAGGTATCACAATAATTCATTTACCATTATATTAATTTATGTAGATGATATTGTCATTACAGGGAATGATCCTAAGGCAATTCAGTCTCTTAAGGATTTCCTCCATGCTCACTTCCGCATAAAGACCTCAGAAATCTTAATTATTGTTTGGGAATTGAAGTAGCAAGATCAAAGAAGAGAATTTTCATCTCTCAACGCAAGTACGCCCTTGATATACTTGACGACGCCAGACTTTTGGGTGCATGCCCTTATTCCTTTCCCATGTTCGCCCTTGATATACTTGATGACACCGGACTTTTGGGTGCATGCCCTTATTCCTTTCCCATGGAGCAGACATTTAGACTCAACCCTACTGATGGCAAACCACTACAAGATCCTACCAGATATAGGCGATTAGTAGGTCGCCTAATTTATCTCATAGTAACGAGGCCAGATCTCTCATTTGTTGTCCATGTGCTTAGTCATTTCATGCATGAGCCGCGCCAACCTCATCTAGATGCAGCTCTTCATGTACTACATTATTTGAAAGGGTCTCCAAGACAAGTCATTTTATTTCCTGCTAAAAACAACCTAACGTTAAAGGCATTTTGTGACTCAGATTAGGCAAGTTGTCCAACTCACATTGATTCCCACTAGTTCTCTTTCATTTTTGATACCCATCAACAATAAAGGTTGGGTGTGACTAATTCATGTCAAAAAGGAAGCAAGGAAAATAAAATACCTTATTCTTAGCAACTGAATACTCAAGCCAAGTGAATTGGCCAAACCACTTTTTATTAAATCGATAAAAGTCTCACCCTTCTAAGTGGCTTGGATATCTTCTAACTCAAGTCGACATGGTCCTAAAAGAATATATGTTCTTCGCACATTATCTTGTTCATTCAGCGGATATTTGCATATTAGACGACGTAATCCTAGATCACGCTCAAGATAATTGATATTAAAATCATGATCATTATCTACTCTTTGATATTCAACTCTTCCAACTGGAGGCTCAACAATGGGAGACTCAGGAAGATTTTGCTCATCACATATTGGAGTAGATAAAGAAGTGCTAAAATGCAATGTACTAGATGATGACCCATCATTCTTTTTCTTAAAATAGACAACAAATTCTTTATTCTCTTGGGATTCCGATTGTAATCAACATAATAAAAGATAACCTATGAATAATATGTAGAAAGAATTTTAATCAAACATACCAAAAAAAAATCAAACAAATTCTCATAATAGCATCTCAACAATACCAAACCTAAAATTATAATTCATCCATAATTAAACCCTAGAATACTCAATTTTAACAAAATCTCAAATCAAAGCCCTAATTAATTTCGACAAAATCTCAAAATTATAATTCATTCCTAATTAAACCCTAGAATACTCAATTTTAAATTAAAACTATATAATTAAAGATATATAGCAAATGAGAGAATGAGAATAATACTTGTTGTTTTTAAAATGAGAAGAGAAGTTGTTGCCAAGTTGCCCACCCAAGATAATAGAAGATGTAGCCAATAGAGGGAGAATTTGACCCCCAAAAAAATAAGAGGGAGAAACTTGCTGCTGTCGGGTAGTAAAAAGAGAGAGAGAGAGAGAGAGAGAGAGAGAGAAACAAGAAGTCTAATAGCCAAAAGAGAAGAAGAGAGAAGATATGGGACCATCTAGATGGGCAACATATGTGTAGCATTTGCTTTTATTTATTTATTTTTAAATTTTGTGCTGGCCTTATAACACATATAGGTTTTTTTTTTTTTTTTTTTTAAAAATTTTGGGCTCACCGGACACCCAGCCACCACCCCTGGCATGCAAGTGGCCGTGGAGAAGGATGCCAGGAGTGACATTCCTGAGGCTGAAATGAAAAAGTTAGTTGCCTATTCCCTTGCGCTTTAATTATCTTGGTTTAAATTGCTACAGTGGAATATGATAGTTCCCTTTTAACCCTCTTAGTTTATGCTTTTGAAGTATGTCCAGAAACCCATAAATAAATAAAAAGAAGAAAATATGAATGTCCATAAGGCCCAATACTTGTTACGGTTTTCTATTTTTATTGTGTAAGTTGTGCATATTAAACTGTCTACAATTTATACGCAGAGAGATGGGATCTAGTATGTGTACCGTTCATTTCGAGTTAGCACGTTCTATAAAAAAAAAATTCAGTTTGGGGGGGAGGGGGAGGACGCGGTGAACGTCATTACAGTTGGTGAAATTCTAGGAGTGGTTAGGAATGGTCCTGCCTGGTTATCATGGTTTGCATCTCCACGTTCATTTGTGTTCATACCTTGTCTCAGATCAAGTCACACGGTTTTATTGTGTGGACCATTTTTTCTGTCTGCAGATACCATGTCCCTGGAGAATTTGTTGAATTTCTTCGTATCATGACCAGGCTCGGCCGCAAAAAGCCTATATTTGTCTTTGTCAAGAACACCAAACCTCTGGTGAGGTGTAACTCAGTTTTGTTTTAGGCATGAATTCTTGTACCCAAAGTTTGCGGTTGTAATAATTCTTGTAATGTTGCAGCTGCATTGATGTCTGCTATCGATGGGGAACACAAGGACGAAGATGGATATCTTCGCATGACCTACAGTGGAGAAGATAATGTTTGTGGATCCAATGTAGAGCATTAGAATGCTCTTAATTAGAACTTTAAAATGTGTAAACTTTGATATCAATGGCCTCAGTATGGTGCTGGAAGTAGTATACCTTAGTTTTATGACATGGCAATTTGCAAGGGACTATAAGGCATGGAGTTGAAATATATATTTTAATGATTTGCCAGTTATCTCTTAATGTCTAAATGGTGGTCAAGGTCATCCGTTAGGAAGGAGTCTGTTTTTGTTTGCTTGCAGAAGTTTGTGTTTGATGGCGTGATTGAATATTTATTTAGTTTGTAAAATAGCGAAAAAGCGGTGAGTAGCAAGTGCAGAGATGGTAATGGCAGAAATCTTAGGAGGACGTTGAGGAGGATGATCTGCTTTAAATTTATTTTATTATCTCCAACGTCAAACATGTTCTTTTTAGCATCTCTAAAATTGGTTTATTTCTCTCTTTGATGATCTCGAATTGAAAAACCCAAGTTCACCTTAATCTCTGATGAGTATTGCCGGGGTTACCTTTAAATGATCATTGTATTTTCTCCTCTCTCATTTGAGTCATTCAATCATTCTTCTCATATGGATGAAGTGAGGCCTCTCTGTGCCTTTAATTGCTTACTGCCCAGAAAGAAAAATACAAAGTACCACACACAAGTTTCCTTCTTGCCTTGCTGTTGGGGTGAAAAGAACTAACACCAAATATTCTTCATATGGAAGGAAATGTAGGTGTTTGTGTGAATCAAGAGATACCTGAAACCACCAGAAAAGTCTCAAACGTCCATCAGGATCAAGGTTAGTGTAGGGTTGGTTTCGTTTGGCTTGAATCTACAACCTCGAATCAACTCTTAATGAAAATTCATTAAGTCTGCCTGTGTTTGCTATGACGCTCTTCTCCTTCTCCTTTTCCAAAGCTTTTTCCCTTTCGTAACCTACACATAAATTGAAAGACCCATTAAAATCAATAAAAATAAAAAACTTGATAATATAATTAGAATCGTGTTTCTGACCCGGGAAAAGAGAAAAAGGTTTAGGTATATTGATTTATACAAAAGACAATATATAATAATAATAATAATTCTAATCCTTTTAGGAATATATAATGTAATGTATGATTTTGGGATATTTGGCTTGGCTGGTCAATAGGGCCCACGTTGAAATCACTTTTGGCTGAAATCTACTTTGGCTGCTGGACCATGCCACTATGGCTGCTTAACTTCGGCTGAAATCTTCTTTGGCCCATATGGCTTTTAAATATGTAGCCAAACTCCAGAATACTAGTACTAAATTTTTTTAAAATAAAATTTCAGTTGGGGCCAGTGACTGCACTGGTCCCCATGTGCCTCCAACGAAAGAAAGAGAAAAAAGTACTAAAGAGTTTAGATGGAAAGAAAAAAGGCCAAAAGGGCAAAAATGTATTTGTGTTTTCAAGAATGTAATTAAAGAGGTGAGAGAGCTCGAAAAGGTAATTATTTGGCTAATTTATGTTTTCAATAAAAGTTATGAAAAAATAATTTTTTTTTCTTTTAAATAATATCATAATCATTTGAGCCATTGGATGGGGAATCATGTTTAAAATGTGTGTATAAATTTGTGGTTTTTTGTGTGTCCCTCGATCTTAACCCTATAATAAAAGCAAAAAAGCATAAAAGTAAAACATTCCAAATCCCACAAATTATGCATGATTAAATAAGGTGATAAAAGACAACAAATTAATATGACGAAGGTAAAATAGTAAAACAATTAATAATATATGCAAAACGTCACTTTCGGTCCTTGTGGTTTATCCTTTTTACCACTAAGGTCCCTTTGGTTATCAATTGGATCTTTTTTGCCCCTGTGGTTTCAATTTGAAGCAATTAAAGGACAATTCTCAATTTCTGTCAAATTTGTTTAACTTAATGTTATTTGTTGAGGGACTATTCAGTCAACAAATTATTAAAAAATTAATTCCTTTAAAAAATAAAGAATATAAATAATAAAAACTTAGTTTCAAAATAAAATAAAACATCTATGTCACCTTCTCCTCCCAACTCCAACCCTTACCGACAGTCCCCACCCAAACCCAGCTAGCCTCCACCTCCCTGTAACCCAACTTAAATTAGTTGCAAAATAAATTAAAAAATTAGTTTCAAAATAAAATAAAATAAAATATCTCTCATCGTATGCTATTAGCACAAGGGTGATAGGAAAGAATGAGAGTGGCATCTCCATGACCGTGAGACCCCTTTACAATTAATCATCACTGCCAGCAAGTGCTAATGGGAAATTGAACAAAACTCTTTATGTTGAGGAAGAATAAAGAATAATTATACTTGCCCTTTGTCACTGCATGCAAGCAGTGGTGGACCTATTAAGGCGTAAGAAGGTGCAGCTGTACCTCCCCTCGCTAGAAAATCCTCTTTAAGCGCTACATATTGCACCTCTATTGAGGTTGCGTGGTGCTCTCCAAGTGTTCGATGAATTGCCTCAACCAAGGCTTGCAGGCTTTGGGTTGTTGCCGTTGCTGCGCTGCTTCGCACAATCGTCATTTTTTTGTTTACAACATCCTGGCCAAAATGACGTCGTTTTGGACTAGGGTTATAAAAAGAAAAAGAAAAAAAAGGAAAACTGGATTGCACTGCGCACGTGGCGTTTCTTGACTTCGTTTTGGACTAGACTTGTCACGTGAAGTCAAGAAAGAAGCTAATCAATGAAAAAAAGGGCTTTTAAACAAGCTTTCTTTTTCAAAATAAAAGGAAACTCTTGCATTGTACAACTCCTTATTTACGTTGGATTGGGAGGAGTTATCTTTATAAAGGATTAACACCATCATATCATGCAAAGTTATCAAATAAATTTGATTCTCCATTCCAAAAAATTATATGATAAGTCAATCAAAGAATTCAAATAATCCAAGAATTATACTTTTTTTTCTTTTCAAACCCGAGAAGGAAGAGGCTGCGCGACACACGAGTCAAGGTACGATCAATTATGATTTGTTTATTTAATTGATAATTTGATATTATTTTTCATTAGATTAATTGAGGATTTGATATTGAGTTTCATATTAATTGATATACTATAGTCAATTAATCAAAGTCATTGGTTATTTGTAATATTGTTTTTTTCTATACCTTATGAATTTATTGGCGAATTGCCTCAACCAAGGTTGCGTGGTGTGCTCCAGCTATTTGAGAAATTGTCAATTTTCTTTATTATAAAGCTTTTAGCCTTTCAAAATTGCACCTCCATTAAAAAATTCATGGGTCCGTCGGTGCATGCAAGTGCCAATTATAGGGAGGTGGTGGCTGGCTAGAGTTGGGAGGTTAAGGGGGAGAGAGATGTTTTATTTTTATGTTAAAACTATATTTTTTAAAATTTATATTTGTACGGTTTATTTTAAAAGGAATTAACTTTTTAATAATTTGTGGATTGAATTGTCCCTCCAAATAATTGAAATTGAGAAATATCCTTAAATTGCTTCAAATTGAAACCAAAAGAGTAAAAATGACCAAATTGAAACCACAGGGACCTTAGTGGTAAAAGTGATAAACCACCGAAACCAAAAGTGATGTTTTACCAATAATATACAATACACATAAAAATTAAACATATATAGTAATCTCTACTATTATAAAGCCATGCCAAAAGAAGGTGTAACAGGCTTCACCAAAAAAAAAAAAAGAGGGGGCGGGGGGGGGACTCACGTGATGGAGTTGGAAGGTGGAAACCAATTCAAGTTGGAATTGAGTTACCACTTTGGAAACAAATGGAGGTGGCAGCCAGCACTTGTTGGCACTTGTAGGCTATATATATTTTCAGATTGTTCTCAAGGAAAAGGAGATTAGAAATTCAGGAGAAACACACGGCAAAAGAAAGAGAGAAAGAGTGAGGAAGAGAGAGAACAATGATGGAAAGGAAAGAACCAAGAGCTAATAACTCTTTTAAACTT